TACGAGCGCTAGTGGTAATTTCTCAGATACGCAGCACAGTGGAGATAGGCTTATTTGGTACGATATTTTGATTCATGGTTCTTTTTGGTACTTCAATCTGCATCGCTTTCATTATTACAAGAAATTCTATATACTTATACACGTATAGTCAATTATGAAGAAAAAAAATAAAATCACAACAAATCAAAATATAAGTTTAAAAATTATTAAAAGAAAGCAATAAGACACCAAAGAGCGACGAAAATAAAGAAATAGACTTAGTAAAATGACTTAAAAAATCCTACCTAAATTAGTTGACCCAAACACGTGGTTTTAAGGCCATCTTTCTATTTCTAATAAGTAAGTTTGTAAGCCTAGCTTTAATGCAATTTAATAAATACACTTTTATTTTTTTATGTTGGTTTTTAAGTTAGGTTTTCTTCTTTTTCGTTGAGCATTTTTTAGGATAATAGAGCCATTGGACTTCTTAAAGTCGTTGAGTAGCTTTGGGGCTGTAGACTCTACTGTTCTTTAGGCCACCAGATGTTAAAGGGAGAGGATTGTTTATGGTCTAAGCCTAAGACGTAACATTAACACAGAACTCTAGTTTTCTATCACTTTCCAACTTTTGCCATTGTATTCTTCTCTAACTCTGAATCTCTACATCAAATAAAAAAAAAATTGAAAATCACACAAAGAATTTCAATTCCGTAATCCCTTTGCGGTGAAGTTTCAACGAAGATTGCAACTTCCTTGTGGCGAGGTTGCCAAATCAATTTGATTGCGATGAAGATTACAATGGTGGTGCGAAATCTTCATGGGAATCTTCTCCAAGAGTGCAATATGTGTATGTATCCCATCCCGTTCACCAATTTGCAACTTCTTGATTATGCTATTTGCTAGTGTGCAATATGGGTTTTTTGGGATATTTAGAACAAATTGGTATTAGTGTTTGGATGATGATTGAAAATAGGGTTCAACTTGGGTCGATATATTTTGTCAATTTGGGATGCAAATGCACCTTGTTTGGGGTCGTCCGACCAAAATTGGAGGTCGTTTGTCATTCTGGCGAACCTTGTCATCGGTTGCGCTTGTTTATAACAGAGGCAAGATAAAATGATAGTTAGAAATAATTTATGTTGGGGATCTTGATCGAAGGAGATATTTAATAGGTTACATATTTCACTCTCTGTGGTTGTGCTATCAATTGCAAGATAACATTGCAATCTATAGTTGCATTGTCTACAACTAAGGCCGCGTGCATGACAGCTACAGAGGCAGTGAAGAAAGTTAAAAGGTTTGGTTGGTGATCATGATTTGGAACAGAAATTTACAACTGCGTACTGTGACAACTAGAGTGTCATACATCTGACTAAGAATCATATGTTTCATGAAATGACCAAACATATCGATGTCAGAACTTCATTAGAGATGTTATTTCTAAGGGCACTATTGTAGTGAAGAAAATTGCTATAGCAGAGAATCCAATTGATATGATGATGAAAGTAGTTCCAACAATCAAATTCAAGTACTACTTGAACTTGATCAACATCGTACCAATTTGAGCGCCTTATAAGGCACATCAGCGATGACGATCGGGAATGAGTTTTCAAATGACTTTTGGCCAAGGTGGAGAATTGTTGACTAAATGGCCAGAAGGTGGCCAAATTATCAATGACTTGGGCATTAAAGTCGAGCACGTAGGCTATTGTATAAAGGCTTGTATTGTGGCTTAATCATGCGCAAATCTAGTTACGCATACTCGCATCCAATGGTTTGGAGTTTTCCTTTTCAGTGTTCTTTATATAAATGGGTACTCAAGCATTGGTTGAGGGCATCAGAAATCAGGAATAGTCCTCTACATTTCAGAGTATTGAGGATTGTAAGGCAACTGAGAGTTGAGTGATATTAGTGTGATCAGAGTGCATTTTCTCTAGTTGGAGTGAGTACTACGAAGCAAGAAAAAGTTGTTCTTGTACTGTTGTTCTACTCCATAGTGAAAATATCCGATCGTTGTTTGTCGTGGACTTAGGCAACAGCCGAACCATGTAAATCTCTTGTGTCCTTTAGTGCATGCCTTATTTGTTTTTTGTCACTGTGTTGTCTACCTCCATACCCAAATCGTGGGCCCGTCACAACACATGTCACAAGCTTTATCAATTCTTTACAATTTGTTTGGCTTGAATAATGAGCTTTTATTGCTTATGGCAAAGTCAATGAAGGGTAACACGTATTCAGCTTTAGAATTATTGTAGTTTGGACGTGTTTTATCTCTTAATCCCTCATACTTCTAGTATTGTAATAACATCCTAAATATATATATAGACTTATCCTAGCCGCATTTCTATCCTCTTTTTTAAGATTTTGTCATATCGTCGTATTTGTGTTGTCATACCCATATCCATATTTGAGTTTCCTAAATTAAAAATGTACTTGATCCACATTCTAACAAAACCACATAAAAAATTATTTACGCTATATGACAATTTATACAAAAAGGAAATGAAAAAAGTAAATAAATCAAGCAGTCTACTCATACAATATCAGTTAAATTGGTGTCGTGTGAACATCGAATTAATCGTATTTAACACTAACTCGACTCGATTTCTATTTGTTATCAAGTAGTCATTTTTGAATTCCTATCGGATCGGATTCATGTTGATTGGGTTGAATTCTATCACTAGAGGTACATAAAATTGCCACCCCCAACATTTCAAAAATACAATCATAGTAAAGCCATTCGAGCAAAGCTAGAGACATATCACAACTTGCGATAGTGATCACAAAGAAATTGGATAACTTTTCAATATTTAGAGGATAATTTAGTTGGTTTTGGATAGAAGACCTATAAAAATAAATTAATCCCAATCATTTTGACGAGAGTATCAATTGTTTATTCTCTCTAGAGGATTAGTGTATCTTGACTTGATCTTTATGAAGATTTCGTTACCCCCTTCTTTCTCTTCTTTTCTATCCCTTTCTCTCCCTGCAGAGCCCAACTTTGATCCATACTTGCTCCAGCTTCTCAACATACTTTACTGAACTTGCTTTTGACACTGTTCATCGGTAACCCCTTCTTTTCTATCCATTTTCGTCACGGTCGGGGAAAAAATCAGAATTTTGTTCCTTTATCAAGACGGATATGTTGTCATTGTCCCCCTTCGTCGTGTTTAACACGTTGCGACCCAATGTGCTGGCACTGCTGGTGATACTTGGTGTTGCAGACCATTGTGTCCTGTTGGAGATGTGCCATGTTACAAAGTTGCAGCTAGTGCTGCAAACTGCATTCTTCATCTAGAAGAAACCTTGGTTTATTTGGTGGGCGTGAAGAGTTGGATCAAGCCAACACAATTACAAGAAGAAAGGAACAGCCCAATCCCTAGTTTCCAGAAAAATTCCAGAACATCTCCCTAGTTTCTTAATTCAAATGAAGCCCCTGAATTTTTGAAAGTACACCGTAGCTTTCCATCCGCAATATTTTCCAAAATTTCAGAACCCCCCTCCAAGGTTACTGAAATTACAACACCACCCCAGAATTTTCTAAAATTCTAAAACAGTCCCAATGATTCCAAATATCACAGATTGGCCCAAAACTTTCTGGAAATTTCAAAATTTATATTCACACAAAGATATTCATCAAACCTGGGGTACTTGCTAGACTTGATATTATGACCAAAGCACATAACATTATAATAGGGTGACGCATCAAGACAGCATGCGCTTGGTTAGTAACCCTTGCGGAACTCAAAGCATCACTAGATTCGCAAAAACAAAAAAAAAAGGTTTTGCTGGCTGCTCTTTGTGAAAGTTTTTGTTCAATGCATCACTAGACAGGAAGCTCTTGAGGCAAAGTTTTTATTTTTTCAGTTGTCAATCAACTAATGGCTGAACAAGACCCTACACCACAAGCACTGCCACAAATTTCAATCCAATTGAATGATAAGCCAAAATTGTCTAAAATGGAGGAGTCTAAAAGTTCTCCTTGTGCTACATCAAGTGTCACTAATAAGCCATTTTCAAAGGACATCCCTACAGATGAAGTCAAGCAAGTTCCAAAAGTGGTTTCTTTAGATATGATTCTAGTGAATATATCTCCTCAAAGCTCCTCAAAATAACCTCTTTTTCAACTATAATAGCACCAAACACTCTTATTCAACTCCTTTAATTCATGATACACTTAGCTTAAGTTTCGTCAAACACTTAAAATTTTTCCCAACCTTCCACCTTTGCCTCAGTCCACCAGCATTTGAAGTCTCTCATCACCACACATTCTCAAACCTAGAAGACATTGGTCGTCATCTCAATAGATGAAGTATGCATAGAGACCAGAAATCAAATACGGCTTTAATCAGGACATATTTCCTCACAGCAGCAAACATGTCTTCCGAACCATGCCAAAAAAAGAATTTAGCCAACCTAAGACAAACAAAATTCTACCAAAATTTAGACCAAGTGAATCTAGCATTCAAAGGCAATGTATCAAACAAATTATACTCCCTAAACTTGTTGCATTTCCTCAATGTCATAGTACTTCTCCAACCGTTCAACAATTTTTACAAAAACCTAACAACAAGAAGATCACCTTGTAAGACCCATAAAGGACTACACTGTTAAGAGTATTAGGGTAGTATGTGTAAATTATTAAGAGTATTAGGATAGTACGTGTAATAAATAAGAGTATATTTGTCTCTTTCTGAATATTATAAGTTAACTATAAATACAAGTGATGTATGAGAGGTAGGGTTAAGTTTTGACCCCTTTTTGTTTCTTTCTAATATTATGTTAACCCTCTCAACTTAACATGGTATCAGAGCAATTACGATCCTAAATATATTAACTCTATTGTGGTAGTGTGGTACTGTTATTGTGGTGGCATTGTGGTGGTTCTTGTCGATGTGGTGGCGTGATCATTCATGGTGGTGGTGTGGTCTTTGATCATCGTCGAGTAGCGCCGTCGTCGTCGTGGTGTAGCTATGGTGGTGTGGTGGTACTGTTGTCGTGGTTCCTATTGATGTGGTGGCATGATCGTTCGTGGTGGTGGTGTGGTCTCTATTCATCGTCGAATAGCGCCGCCGTCATCATCGTGGTGTGGCTGTGGTGGTATGTTGCTGTCGTTCGTCGTGGTGTGTGGCGCCGTCAAAGACCAGAGGCTTGGAACCCTAATCAACGAAGAAGAAAGAATCCAACCCCTGGAGTCGGGTCTAGATCAAATCGGGTCCAGACCATGATCTTAAATTGTTTTAAGTCCAGCCCAATCAATCTTCCAGCCCACAGTCTAACTTAAACCGGATCAATCCCAGTCCAGCTCACGGTCCAACTTAGACTGGATCAATCCCGATTCATCTTCAGACCAGTTCAGCAGTCTAGAGAGCCCAACTAGTCCGATCCTGCGGTCCAGGGAGCCAAGCCGATCCAATTCAATGGTCCAGCTAGGTTTTCCAGCCCAGTTCAGTCTTCCAGCCAGTCCGATTCATACAGTCCAATTTTCCAGCCCGATTCAGTCTTCCAACAACTTCTTTTCCTCTGGTTCAACACTGCAGCAACTTCTTGATTGCTATTTATTGCACTGTTATGGAACCCAAGCAAGGTGACAGCTCTCTGACTCCATCTTTGTCATCTACCTCTACTCGTACTTTTCTCAATAGTCTCATGACTTCTGTTAAACTCAATGGAACTAATTATACTTTATGGTCCCAATCTGTTCAAGTCTTTCTACGAGACAACAGATTTAAGAAATATTTGATGGATCCTAAAACCAAAGAAGGTATTCTTGGGTATAATCAGTGGGAACAAGAGGACGCTCATTATTTCTTTACAATTGAATAGAATTGAGCCTAATATTAGTTCTACCCTGCTCTATCTTGACACTGCCAAAGAGATGGGATCATTTGACCACCATGTATTCCAGTACTGGTAATTTTACCCATGCTTATGAGGCATGCAAGGAATATTTCTAGCTAGAATAGGGTACTTTGAGCCTTGAGAATTATTACTCTCACGTTCGCGAATTCTGTAAGGAGATGAAGACCTACCATTCATTTACTACTGATGATGCAGTTTGGCAGAAACAACATGAAAATTTGAATGTTGTTAAATTTTTTGTAGGATTGAAACCTGAATACGAGACTATTCGTTCTCAAATTTTGGGTGGTTCTAGTCTTACCTCATTACTTGAAGTTTTCTCTTGTTTACAGTGTGTTACTCCTTCAGGCATTGATCATGGTGTCTCCACTGATCACTCAGCCCTTGTAATTTCTAGTAACCACAATGATGGTCATTGAGGTGGACGTGGTAATTGTGGTAGTCGTGGTGGTCGAGGAGGTCATACAACTAGGTCATGGGGGCCGTAGTGGACCACGTTCCTGTACTCATTGTGGTCGTAGAGAACACACTGTTAATTTATGTGAGAATTTACATGAAAAACCTTCTGGTGCTGCTAATCACGTTTCCTATCAGTATGACACCTCGGTTGTTGCTTCCACACCTCGGTTAACTCCACCAAACACTAGGTCAGTTACTATTACACGAGAAGAGTATTCCCCGTTCCTATCCTAGCAACAGGCTATTCCATCTCCCTCCACTGCTACTTTTGTTCAGTCAGGTACTGCTTCCACTTGTTTATTATCCTCTACTCACAGTCCCTAGATCATAGACTCTGGCGCTTTTGACCACATGACTGGTGCGTCTAGTATTTTTTCTATTTATCAGCCTACTACTTCCATACATAGTGTTACTCTTGCTAATGGTACTTGTTCTAAAGTTTCAGTTTTGGAGACTACTCACTTGAGTCCTGATATGTCTCTATCCTCCGTGTTATTTGTTCCTAAATTTTTTTTTAGTTTATTTTTCATTAGCAAGATTATCCGTTCTCTCAATTGTTCCGTAACCTTAACACTAACTGGATGCATTATCTGATCCGGGTCGGAGGAGAGCTATAAAGGAGGAGATGGATGCCTTATATCATAATAGAACTTGAGATCTCGTTCCTTTACCTCCTGGTAAATGAACTGTTGGTTGTCGTTGGGTATATACTGTTAAATTTCATCCGGATGGTTCTGTGGAGCGTCTCAAAGCCCGGCTTGTTACAAAGGACTTTACTCAGACCTATGGTGTTGATTATGAGGAGACATTTTCTCCTGTTGCTAAAATTTCATCTGTTTGAATCTTAATTTCTTTGGCTGCTAATCTTGATTGGCCCTTGTTTCAGTTAAATGTCAAGAATGTCTTCTTACATGGAGATTTGGTTGAAGAGATATACATGAAGTAGCCACCTGAATTTACGGTTCAGGAGGAGTACTGTAAGAGTTTATATCGGTTAAAGAAATCATTGTATAGTTTAAAGCAATCACCGAGGGCATGGTTTGATAAGTTTTTATATAAAATTTTTAGAGTTTGGTCTTCTTCGCTATCAGACAGACCATTTTGTGTTTCATAGACAGACGGATGCTGGATATGTTTTATTAGTGGTCTATGTAGATAATATTGTGATTACTGAAAATAATTCTAAGGGGATTGTTAAGTTAAAAATCTTCTTGCAAGATCGATTTCATACTAAAAATTTAGAAAAACTCAGGTATTTCTTAGGTATTGAGATGGTTTGATCTAAACAGGGTATTTATTTATCCAAGAGGAAATATGTGCTTGACATGCTAGAGAAAGCAAGTTTATTGGGTGACAGACTGATTAATGTTCTTATGGATCCAAATCAGAAACTGTTGATGAATGATGGTGCACAATTTAAAAATCCGGGTTGATATCGCAGATTGGTTGAGAAGCTCAATTATCTCACTACTTACTTAGCTGGATATTTCCTATGCAATCAGTGTAGTAAGTCAGTTAATGGGATGTCCTAAAGTATCATATTAAGAGGCACTTACTCGTATTCTACGATATCTCAAACGCGCTCCTGGCCTTGGACTGTTATATCGAACTAATGAACATCTTAAAGTAGAAAATTTTTCAGATACTGATTGGGTTGGCTCTCTTTTTGATTGGAGATCAACCACTAGTTATTTCATTATTGTACTTTCTTAAGAGGTAATGTTGTCTCATAGAAAAGTAAGAAACAATCCGTGGTAGCAAGATCCAGTGCTGAGGCTGAGTATAGGGCAATGGCGCACACGACGAGTGAGTTGACTTGGCTACTACACTTCCTCTAGAAAATTAAATTTTTTGTTCAACATCCTTTACAGTTGTTCTATGACAATCAGGCAACTATCCATATTACTGTCAATCTAGTGTTTCACGAGAGAATCATATTATCACTTTATTCGAGACAAGATAATAGCTAGGGGAGATTACGACTCTATTTGTGAAATCTGAAGATCAACTTACAGATATATTTACCAAAGCATTGAGTCGTACACGTCTTATAATAATTTGTTCCCAACTTGGATTGTACGAGGAGGAATGTTAAGAGTATTAGGGTAGTATGTGTAAATTGTTAAGAGTATTAGGCTAATATATGTAAATATAAGAGGGTATATTTGTCTCTTTATGATTATTATAAGTTAACTATAAATACAAATGATATATAAGAAATAAGGTTAAGTTTTGACCCCTCTCTGTTTCTGCCTAATATTTTCTCTAATATTATGTTAACCGTCTCAACTTAACATACACAAATACAGTTCCTCCTAGAAATACTCACACATTCAAGGCCTGATCAGACCATAAACCCCAAACACCCATCAAGCACAATCCTTAGGACCCTTAAAATAATAGAAATTGTAAAACTACCCCATAGTTTCTAGCACTCTCTCATTCCATATGATTAACACGCCCCTAACCTTCCACACGGAGGCAGAATTTCCCAACTTCAATGTCTAGGCCCCAGAATGTTTTGATAATAGAGACATCAATCTTTTTCTTTTTTGTTCCCTAAACGATAAAAACATGGCTTACCTTTCTCAACATATCCTCAATCACCTTTCTTTTCCAACTATCACCTAATCCTTTTATATTCCAACAAGCTATCTTTATTGATCACACAATAGGTCCCCATTGTCGTTCCTAGAATTAATTCCATTATATACTTCGAATCCGACATTCGATCTCTAAATTCCCTAATCCCCCTGAACCTCTTTTCACTATTCACCCTTCTACTATGCCCTCTCCCTCTCCCTCTCCCTCTCTAACAGTTATATACAAAAAACAATAAAATTTTCCCAACAACTCTCTAGCAAGTCTCGAATTTTATGCCTCTCAAGCCAATCCAACAATTTCATTTTATGGTTCAAACTATCTGCTACAATAACTCTAGGCCAAGTTGCATCCGAAACGGCATCTTCCATTCCAAAACTAATATATATTACGTGCAAACCACAAGTCTCGCTTAGCTTGTGGTTGACTAAAAAATGTGTCCAAAATCTCTCATCAAGCCAACTTTTATCTATATAGCATTTCGTATGTATAATCCAATATCGTGTCACGACACTACAACCAATTTGTCACAATTGCCTTGAAGTCAATGGCGAATACCATGACCTTAAAACAAGCGCAAAATCCCCTCCCAAAATAAGCCAATATCCCTTCTCTCCCCAACCTCATTTCTCATACTAGTTCCCTTTCATAAAATCATTTATTTTTACATTGCCCTATTGCTTTATCTTTGTGGACCAATTTGTTTTCATTGGCAAGATTGAACTGAGATTTTAAAGGATTTGGACATCATCATAAAGGAGTTGCTCCATAGAATTGTGCAATCCTTGCTATGGTTTGGGTTGTTTGGTTGGACAATAATGCTCAGGTTTTTAAGATAGATGTGAAATGTTAGAAGACTTATGGAACCATATATTTTTCTTGGCTTCGTTCTAGGCCTCAATCATTAAGCACTCTGTATGCATACCACTCTTTTGTATTTTGGCTGGATGGAGAACCGTTTGTGACTTATTGTTTTTGGGCATCTCTCATGGGTTGTCCTCCGATTTTTGTTAGTTTACTGTTTTGGCATTATGTATTTTGAGGTTTGGACTTCACGTCCACCCTCTTTTATTTTGATGTACTTTCTTCTATTATTAATAATAAAATGTTGGTTTCTCATCAAAAAAAAAATTATTTGCTAATAAGGGATCAAACAATTCTAATTGCTAAGTCCTAGTCTTTTGAAAAATCTATCCTCTGTCCAACTGCATCACCATTCTATTTGGGTCTCCAACCCCCCCCCAAAAAAAAAAAAAAAAAATCGAACACGACACAAAACTTCCTTATACTATTCACTCCCAATTGGTATTTGTCGATACCTCCTCAATTAACACTTATCCAACAACACCTTCAGTTAGAAAACCAAAGTTGCCTCCAGTTCCCACTTTTTTAAGCTCTCCATCATCTTCTTTGTCAAATAGAAATCCTAGTTGATAATCAAATCCACTACAATTAGCCACCGTCTTACTCCAATATAACACTATTGAAACTTTCATCAGATCCCACATACTCAGCTGAAACCTCCAAAACTCCATTAACTCAAGCATACGTTTTACCATACTTTCCAAATTGCTCAAGAAATTTTCCCTTGTTCCTCCTTTAGCAACAAACAACGCCAAATTGTCTGACCCACAAAATTGAAGAATCAATTTCAACAAGTACCAATTTCTTTCGACACCCTTCATCCTCTCAATGACCCTTCATAACACATTTTCCCTTCTTCCTCCTCTACAACAAATTGTTTAAGGTCATTGCTTTGCTAAAATCCATTTGTTTGACCCACAAAATTGAAACTTTGACTGTAAATCAAAATGAATTATTTCCTAGAGCTCAACATTAGAATGTCCCAGACCTTTCTGTGTTTCTCTCTTTTGAAGTTTTGATAAAGCCATTGACTCAAATGAGTATGAGCTATTCTTACGATTACTACGCTTATATGCACTACGTTTGAATTCAATAAAAGACAAGCCAATAAAATATTAAAACGCCTTCATAGGATACCATTTTACATGAGCCTTATTAGAGGGCTTTACTCCAACTTTTTTACCACAATGGGAGTGTAAGAGCCATCAATCCATATAATATATGCAAGGATCAAAATATTATTTCAATACATAATTTTGGTGAACTTTGAGACGAAAACATTTCGAAAATAATATGTAAACAAAAAAAAAATTAAAAATTTATTTACGAAACATTCGTCAAAACGTACCAAAACATTCTAAAGTATAGGTCATGTCAAAACACCTCAAAAACTATTGAAACACCTCGAAATCTACCAAAACATAAAAATTTTGATATTCAATCAATGATTTGTTTCGATTTCCATAAAAACGAAAACATTTCGAATGTTCGACCGTCTCAAAACGAAATTTAATTCCTTGAATGTATCAGAATTTGATTCCTCTCATGGACAACTAATCTCCCTTTTAGCAGCATTAATTTTGTCATCAACCTTCAACCTCCCCATTTCAATATGACTTTTCCTTAACCACATCAATAAAAGTACTCAAACTAGGCCAAAGAGTTTAAGACTCTTATAATTGGCATTTACATATACCTAGCCCAAATACCTTTACTTCAGTCTAGGAACGATTCACCATTTTCTTTCCACGTAACTTATCCACACATAATCCATCATCTTTAACCACATGTAATGCAAAATTCCATTCTACCACTTCTAGTTAAATTAGTTGACCCATCAACCCTCCCTACTCATGTCGTCGAACCGGTGAAATCAGAATCGTGATGATGATGAAATAAAACTACAATGCAATTTCTAGTCCCAAAAACGGCTACCACTTACCTATAAATTATCTGACCCATCAACGCTCGTCACCACTATCTTCGAAATAGCCTAATCAAAACCATGAAGAAGACACTAATTCAAGGAGTCACTAGTTTTGCCATGAATATATCTAGTAGTCAACTACAAGAACCGCACATTTTAGCAATACTACTTTTTTCCACAAAGTATAAGGCAATCCTTCAATTACTAATCATTCTATGAGAAAAGACTAGTTTTGCCATGAATATCTAGTAGTCCACCACAAGGACCGCACATTTTAGCAATACTACTTTTTTCCACAAAGTACCAAGCAATCCTTCAATTACTAATCATTCTATGAGAAAAGAAATCTTGCAATTCACTAACAAGTAACAGATCTACATTTTTGTAGAAACACCATGTACGGACCTTCAAGGTAATACTTCCCATAGTTCCAAAATCTACTACTTCGTTAACACTTTCCGGGAAAAACTTCTTGTTGATCCTAAAATGGAACCAATCAAAAATTCTTATTAAGCATCTTACTCTCTTACACATGGATTTGCAATTGCAAACTACTCTCAAATCTCATCTCCCAGTCTTCAACTTTAGCTTCAGTTTTGGAATCTGTCCTCCTCCCTTCAAATGTATGACCTAAGGACCTGATTCACCTGGGCTTTTTCTTGTTCTCCTTCTTTTCCTCCCTTTCTTCTTCTCTTCTTCTCTTCTTCCTCGTCCTCTAGTACTTCTTCTTCTTCACAAATAATTACTGTTACTTCTAGAAAAATAATGTATAACCTAGGGGCTAGAATTCACTAGACCATCTTCTTCTTTTTCTTCTCTTCCAAAACAAGATTCACTATAGAGACTAGGTGCGTGTACTTCTTCCCTTTTCTTCTTATCCTTTTCTTGTTCTTCTAAGATGGAGCTGAAGCTCTTTCTTTGAACTCTACTTTTGCTAGCTCAGTGATTCACTATTGGTGGAGCTCTACTTTTGCTTCAGGTTTTTTCTCCTCTTTTGATATTTGATGTTGATTTTTTACTTCAAATGTTAGGATTTAGTATATTTTTGGCGCATTTTTAAAATTTAAATGTTAATGTTTTGGTTGAAATTAAGACTTGAGATATTATTGATGTTTGTTTCAATTTAAATGTTTATGCTTTGGGATGTATTTGAATATTTAGTACTTGAGAAGTTGAAACTTGATACTTAGTAGTAACTAAACTAAAATATTTGCTTAGTTTTTATATTGTTCTCCTCAATTCGATGAATCGTTCACTTCGCTTCGCGCCTCTGGCCTAGGCCTCAGGAGACCTAAGCACTTTAGTTCGCTTTATGCCTTATATAACACTGAGTTTGTTAAAACACTCATGAAGACAATAAATTGAAATCAAAATGTACTCTAGGTTTTGGTAAGTTTTTTGGAATTAGAAGGTATAACATGATTCTTGTTGATAACATATAGCTTAATTCATCGTCATCACCTAGGGAAGAACCATGGGATGGGACAACAAAGATATGACTAAGCCTTAGCCTAACATTATTGAGATCTTGGAAAGTGGCTAGTAAGTTTAAGGCATAAATACTATGCAATGAAATTACCAACAACTGTTGGGCTAAAGATTTTCAAGTTGACTGTTGAAAACAACACAGCAATCTATCAAAAATTTATATTTAATTTCAAATCCTATAATTCCCAAATAATAATACCAAGCACCAATTTTCACCAAGTTCTCCGGTTACCCAATTATATACCTCAGGATACTCTCAAGAAGTTGAGGTATCTGTGTTAAACACAAACACTCCTTGAACACGTATCTGATACTCTTTTATATGTATTTATAATTAAATGATAAAATTTTAATTTCAGAAAAGTGTTCAATATTTCTTTGGTGACTAGTCTAACACTTCTTTGAACCATGTCAGCTACTAAAAAATAAATATGTATTGATGTGTGATTAACAAATTTAAAATTTTGACTAATAAGTATCTTATACTATGAGAAAAAACATATAATTACCAAAATTAGACATGTTAAAATTGTACTCAAAATATAATAACAAAAGCAAAAAATAAATAAAAGATTTAGAAACAAACAATTAAGCAATGGAGAAAATAAGAGTAACAATTTAAATTATATTTGTTAAGTAAACGTCAATGAAAAAATTGATGATTATTTACTATTATAATGTTAGTCTAAAAATTCATACTACATGACTAAACATAAGATTTACCCAACATAAAATCCTAAATTTTTATGAATAATATATCTTTATTACTATATTTATGATAAATTACATATAAAACGAAATTATATATTACGTGAACCCGAAAAAAAAAAAAAAAAACTGGCAATTCATAACTAGATAACATAACGACTAAAGACAAAATGTCCAGAACCACCCCCCCCAAAAAAAAAAAAAAGCAAACAAACAAACAAAGCACCAATCAATAACTGTCAAATTCTGGATAAAATCAATCACGATCGAAAATTTGACGTATGAATTACTATCTTGGAAGCAATTAGTTAAATTTAATAAAAGAAAAAAACAATGATCAATCTTTACATGAATCTGGATGCATGTGTTGTATGTTACCATGAATTGAATGCGTACCAGTATTTGACCATTTTGCAACCAGAACAATGCTTCTTGGTTAAATTCCCACATACAATGCAGGAATCGCTGTGGGTCCCAATAAACCCTGGCATCGTGGATGAAGATGTATAACCGGCAGAGGAAGAAGAAGAAGTAGTAGTAGTAGAAGAAGAATACACAGACTCGGACTCGTCGAAATTGGCGTCGACAACAAAATACTTGGAGGCCGTGACCTTCAACAAGTAGAGCAATCCGAAGGCCACAATAAAAGCTGTGACAATGAAATGTAGGAACCAACTGAGATCCACCGAAAATCCCAAGACATGCATCGATCGTGACCGGGCCTACTTCTAGGGTTTTTCATCGATGCATTGAATTGCGTATACCCCTTTTTGTAATGTGTGTGTGATTTCTCTCTCTGAATTGGGTTTTTTTCTGTAAAAAATCAAAAATAAGAAGGATTTAGAAGAAATATCTTTCGCTCTCTCTTTTCTGTGTTTTGATGATTGGGACTTGTTGGGGGGTTTACAGATGGTGGTTTGGGGATTCCATGAACGTTTCCCAATGAGAGAGAAGGTGCATTCAATTTCTGGGTGGTTCTGGAAGACAAAGGGTTTGCTACTTGGCTTAAAGCTTTAATTATGAGCTCAAAATTGTTGTCATATCTCTAGTGAGATTAAAATTAGGTAGATTGGGTGTCTAATCGCATCTCCAACAACGTTTTGTAATTTAATTATTTAAAAATAAAAAAAAAATTATTTTAATTATTTATTTTTTGAATACATACTCTAACAAAATTTTTGTATTATAACTTTTACTTTAAAATATTATTTCTCATATCTTATATCTTTGGAACTATTAAAGGAAGTGAGAAAAAAAATTGAAAGAAAGACAAATAGTAGACAAGTGAGATGAAAAATAACAAAAAAATAGAGAATATATTATAAACTATTTATACATACCCCAAGAAAGATCCTGGAATTGTGAATGTCATTTGATGTGAACATAAATGATAGTTTAATACACTTTGGCATTACATTATGTTGAGGAGTCGGGGTATGACTTGAGTTGTGGTACATGAGTGAGTTTCATCTCATTTCATCGCATGGTATGGAGTCATTCACGTGGATATTAGCATGTATTGAGGAGCCAGAAAAAGCTCGTGTTGATATGCGTGAATGAGTCTCACCTTATTTCATGGCATGACATAGTAAAATTTCATCATTGAAATGTATATTCTTGCTTGGAATGGAAAATGATGGTTAAGTGTTGCACATAAACATTACATATGCATCTAAGGAGGGAGTAACTTCTGTAGGAAATATTCTACTAGGCGTTGGCTAACCATATTCGGGAAACTATTTCAGGTGCGGGATACACGCAGGTGGACAGCTCTCATTTGGGGCCTTAAGGGTGAAGAGGGGCCGACATGTGGCCTTTAACCTTAACTGTTTTGTAAAGTCTTGTTTAAACTACGTTTTGGATTTAAATATATGTAAATTAAATGTAATGAACTTGTAAAAATGAAGTTTTATGTCAAAAACTCCATTATATGTGTTTTGGGTGAAAATGAGATGGGTTGGAAATGATTGGAAATCAAAAACAGGTGAAACACGAAAGAACTGGCAAAGCGTACCGATATGGTGAGGTCCAGTAGGCAAACACTTATCAGTGCATTTTCCAAAAATCATAAATTTAAAAATTGTTTTGCTATGCAATTGGACTTTGGTTTCCTTGGTTCCAATGATACAAATAGACATTAAATGATATATATTAGGGTATATTGAACCTCGGTTGGATTAAATGATTAAAGGAACACGGGTTACACGTGTGAGTTATAATCCCGAGTAAAGGGATATTATTAACGTGATATCAGGTTGTATAGCAAATCACGGGCAATTTCGCGGGTGGTCAATGGTGTAAAAAAGACCCCCCGATTTTAGGGGCGTCACAACTTGGTATCAGAGCCTAAGTATACGATTTACTTAGGGCTGTTGGGCATGAGTTTAGACCATTGCATTCATTGTGCATTTCATGTTATGTGCTTAAATTACTACATGTTATGTACTATGTGTTATGTGAATAATATACATGGTAAAATGTAAGTGGAAAAGGGGACACTAGGGTTAGAAAACATAACATTCGGGGTCGAAAAACAAGGGAATGGGATAGTTCAAGATATAAAGGTCTACTAGTGGGTGGCATAAGCTCTACTAGGGAGACAGGGAGATAAATCTCAGAGTTTAAAGTTGGTCCCTACTTCGTGATACAAAATTAGTGTTCTATTGCTATCCGACATGTGTGTAGATGGCTATAGAGGAAGAGGACATGGGCGATGGGCGGAATAATAATCAACCACCACCAGCCTTTGACCATCAACCCTTCGTGGAGGCTATTGGTACTGCAGCTGCCACCATTGCACAAGCTAGTGCGGCAGCTGCAATCATTGCACAAGCTAGTGCAAGTGTGGGACAAGGAGGCTCGAGTATCCTCTAGAGGTTCAAGACACATAAGCCTCTGATTTTTAAGGGAGAGGTGGATCCGATGGTAGTCGATTATTGGTTCTAGCAGGTTGATAAAATTTTAGAGGCAATGGAGATCACTTATGATGCCACAAAAATCAGGCTAGCTGCATTCTAGTTAGAGGGGGAAGCCCAATTGTGGTGGGAGTGGGCAAAGGACTCCAAGAACTTAGAGGAAATGACATGGGGAGAGTTCCAAGAACTCTTCATGGGAAAGTATTTCTCAGCGGCTGCTAGACATTCAAAGGCCCGAGAATTCTTAGATTTGAGACAGGGAACAATGACGGTGCTAGAATACGTGACCAAGTTCACGGAGTTGGGCCATTTTGTCGATGACTACGTGGCCACAGATATAACCAAGGTGAGGAAGTTTGAGGATGATTTGAAATTGTCCATCCGGGGGTAAAATTGTGGGCTATTGCCTACAAAACATGGATTCGATGGTCACAACAGCCATGACCATTGAGAGAGAAGTTGAGGATGCACGGAACATCCAGGGAAGCAGGTGTCAAGGACAAGAAAAAGGCAGGTCAATCCTCTTCTTCTAGTTCAGAAAAGAGACAGAGGACATCTGCTACACAAGGACATGGTCGTAGCCATCAAGGCCAAGGCCAAGGTCGATTCTCCCAAGGCGGGGGAAACCCCAGGACAACTTATCAGGCTGTTCAACAGACATTTTTCCATTGCAACCAGTCGGGTCATATGAAACGGGATTGCCCCCAGAGGCAGGGATCTCACAATTATGGGTCATCTCAGTCTTAGACTTTGGTGGGGCAGTCACAGACACATTATACTCCTCACTACTCTACCATAGGTCAGGGGAGTCAGTATCAGTTCTAGGGTGCTAGACAGGCCCTTACTACTCCACGGGCGGGGACTCCGCAAGCAGGCTAGACGGGTCAGGGCATAGGTCGAGGCTGAGGACAAGGGTCACAAGCCAGTACATCAGGGACCTAGGGTCATGTCTATGCCATTATACCATAGATTGAGCAGACAGATCAGTCGATAAATACATGGTACATTTTTACTGTCTCACTTTATAGGCAAGGGTGTTATTTGACTCGGGTGCATCTTATTCATTCATATCTGCATCATGTATGAAAGACTTAGGCTTAGAGGTTGAGACCTTGAAAGAGCCATTGCATGTGAGTTCTCCGCTAGGAACTAGGTTGAGAGTTGATCAGATATGTCGGGGGTGTGAGTTAGAGATCTCAGGGATTCTACTCATCGTGGACCTTAGGGTCATGGACATGTCGGAGTTCGATGTTATCCTCGGGATAGATTGGTTGGTAGCATATCGAGTCATTATTGATTGTGATCGAAAGAGGGTCATTACTTATACGCTTGATGGTGTTTGTTTCAAGTTTTAGGGGAAAAAGCATAAAGCTTTGCCCCAATCAGTGTATGACTCTCGTTGGCACAGACAGTTGATAGTTTGGCTTACAAGTCTTACCCTGAAAGATGAGGTGAGATAGGAGTTGGGTCTGCCTCGGTTGTATGTGAGTATGAGAATATTTTTTTGGATGAACTACCGAGATTATCTCCCTATAGGGATGTAGACTTCAGCATTGAGTTGCATCTTGGTATAGCACCGGTTTCTATGACTCCACATAGGATAGCGTCAGCTGAGTTGCAAGAACTCAAGGTCCAATTGCAAGAATTTTTGGACAGGGGATTTATTAGATCGAGCACTTCACCTAGGGGTGCTCTGGTGCTATTTTCCAAGAAGAAGGACAAGACCCTTCGATTGTGCATAGACTATCGATAGTTGAATCAAATCGCCATCAATAATAGGTACCCTTTGCTAAGGATTGATGATCTATTTGATCAGCTGAGAGGGGCGCGGGTCTACTCCAAGATAGATTTTCGCACTAGTTATCATTAGTTGAGGATTAGGGAGGCAAATATCCCTAAGATGGCGTTCATAATGCGTTACGGGCATTTCGAGTTCATTATAATCCCAGCGGCATTCATGGATCTCATGTATAGGGTGTTTCAACCCTATCTAGATCAGTTCGTCATGGTGTTTATTGACGACATCTTGATTTACTCCAAGTTTAAGAAGGAGCATGAGGATCACTTGAGGGCTTTTTCTCTAGACCTTGAGAGAGCACCAGTTGTATGCCAAATTTAGCAAGTATGAATTTTGGCTTATGAAAGTAAAGTTTTTGGAACACGTGGTGTCAGCTTTGGGTGTATCTGTGGACTCGGAGAAGGTTAAGGTAGTCATGAGTTGGGAGAGGCTGAAGATAGTCATCGAGATACGCAGTTTCTTGGGATTGGTAGGGTATTACAAGAGGTTCATAGAGGACTTCTCTCGATTAACTGCACCTATGACGAGATTGACCCGGAAGGAGGTCAAATTTTAGTGGGATGATTTATATGAGAAGACATTCCAGGAGTTAAAGAGGAGGCTCACTTCAGCTCCTATTTTGATAGTCCCGAAGAGGGGACAAATTTTCACGGTGTATTGTGATGCCTCTCGAGACGGACTTGGTTGTGTTTTGATGTAGTTTGGGAGGGTGGTGGCCTATGGTTCTCGGCAGTTAAAGAACCACAAGCAAAATTACCTCACACACGACATGGAGTTGGTGGCCATTGTATTTACATTAAAGGTTTGGCAAAATTCGAGGTATTCTCAAACCACAAAAGTCTGAAGTACATTTTCACACAACGGGATCTCAACATGAGGCAACGTAGATGGATGAAGTATCTGGAGAACTACGACTTCACTTTGCATTACCATCTTGGTAAGACAAATATGGTGGTTGATGC